CCAAAACCTCCTTTCTCAAGAGATGCCTATGTCCAGCAATGGACTAGTAAAGACTGTTGATAAATAAATAGTGAGACGTTAATGTTTAGAGAGAAAATACTAGGGTAGAAGAGGTCCGTTTATTATGTGTAAATAGCCTAGTTAAATATTCGTTAATCTCATCAAAATACGCAATCGAATTTATGCTCGTATACAAACAAGACGAGAGAAGAAATTACTCAAATTTATTGGTGTTGGATATTCATGTTAAATACTTTCTTCTAATTTTTAGGATTTCGTACAACCGTATAACTTTTATAAGATCATTCGTGATGCTGTCGGTGCGTCTGTCATACACGGTTATCTTAAAATCTACTGGATCAATTAAAATGAAAGTTTGGAAAATCTATGTTGCCACGTAAATATATAAACATACAATGTGTAAGATATGTTTGTAATGAGTAGATAATTACGATATTTAAAACACTACGTACCGTCATGTATGGTACCAAACTCTAGTATGGTATAATATATTAAATTTAATTTAATGAGTCTGTTACTTTATTTAGATAAGGTAGTAAAATATTACATTTGAACCCTAAAATTTATTACTTAATTTTCCAAAAGTGAAGTGTATTTTTCTTCGCATTTGAATGGAACTAAAGGGGAAATATACGCTGAAAAATAAAAAAAGAATTTTCATGATCGGTTTACAAATGAAAGAGTTTTGAGGTAAACAATGATGACTGCACGGATGGCGTAATGGTATAAGCGGTCGCCACGCCGCTTACTACTACTACGCTGAGTGTTGTGGGTCCGATCCCCACATGGGACGACACTGTGATCCACAAATTGTTGTTCTGAGTCTGGGTGTACTTTGTGTCGGTCTCATGTATGTTTGTAAAGTTCCGCGCAACACAGGATATATTCTGAGGATGAAGTAAGTTTCTCAATTAAAATCAGTAAGAATAAACAGACTCCATGACTTTTTGTTTAGTGACTGTGGTTCGTTCCTTTTTATAGCTGACGTTGATCAAATGCTCTATAAATTTGGTGCTGCTCAAGGACCCAAGAACTACATATGTGTCTACTAAGATTATATAAATTACTTAGGTCCATTCTGTTATAGTTATTTTTTTAAGATAACATCTCATGTAACGGACAACTTCATTATGTCTTACTCTCAGAATAGATGTGAATCACGTGGCATTGAAAGCTCCTTAGAATTGAGACGACCATTATCAAACCAGTTTGCAATAATCGAAAGGATCTGGTGACATGTTGAATAGATTATAAAATAACTTATGACTCTGTGCGGCACACATGGCTCGCGAGGGTGATGGAGTTGAACAAGTTTAATACAATTCTACACAAATTATTTGAGATGTGTAGGTACGCAGAATAGACAATGGTTCTTTGCTATACATGATAAAATATAAAAATATAGTAGCTATCCGCCCCGGCTTCGCACAAATGCAATGAAGATGCTACTAATGTGTGTGACTATACTACAGGACGTCTTTATATGCAATATTTATAGGCCCTCTCCGATCCTGCCACTCGCGACGTACGTACGGCGACGGCCGCTTTGCCCCCACATTTTAAATCTTCTAAAATATTCATTTTAACGATATGCTGTACAGAGCAAGTTTAATCTACATCAAATGCACAACATTTCTTACGTATTTAATTGGATCAGAAATAATGTATTATTTAAAATAGCTACGTAAATAACCCATTATTTTTTTGTAATAATCAAAAGATAAAAATGGCTACCTCATAAGGATTAGCCAGCGTTATTAAATGGAATGCATGGCATGCATGTTTTTTATGACAAATCTTTGAAATTTTCGGATTTTCTTTACTAAAATATGCATGTATTATACATATAAACCTTTCTCTTTAACTTTTTCACTCTCTCTCTAATGTTGAAAACCGCATCAAAATCGTACAAGCGAAAAAAAAAAGACTTAATTTTATAACAATGAAGAGAAACATGAAATGATTAAAGCTTGTTGCAATGTTTATTATTTGTAAAACCTACAATATCTTCTAAATAAAGAGTATCTTTGCTACGTGCAAAGAAACTCTTTACATATTATTGAATGTCTTAGTGCTTTTTTTGGTTCTAGTTTCGTCGGTATTAAATATCTAGTAGTTGTTTCTTTTTTTTAAACATTTGATACCTTAAAACTACTAAATTAAAATAAAACTCGTAAATTAAAATCATAGTGTCTTTATATCAGTTTCTTAAACTTGCAATGATAATTATCTAGCTAACATTTCCTTTATTACTTACTACTCGCAAAGCAGTACACTATGCTGCGGAATGAAAAAAATTGTGTTCGCCAGTATTCAAAAATGAAGCAAGGAATTCAACGTCACTGTGCGTTACTCATTCGTAATCACAAAAGGAGAAATACGGAGAAGTGATTTCGTAGACGATAATTTTTTACATTTTTTAGATGGCAATAATAAGAAAATAATGATGTCCACGACATTCTCAAAAACTGAAAACTTTCTAAATATGGCCCTTCCAATTTTTCAACACACACATCTATGGTTTGGACAGTATTATATGCATGACTTCTGCCAATCCCAAATAAAATAAATAGATACCTGTTTGTAATTACCAGTAGCGTATTTACCCTAGGTCCAATGGGGTACGTACACAGGGCGCCAGGTCGTTAGGGGAAGCAGTCTAGCCGTTGTTAATAATGGTCACCTACCCATTTTTAATATTACTTTTTCAATTTAGAAAAGTCATTATTCAAAGGAAATTGAAGAGACTACCCAATCGAGATCACACAAAACTTGATTAGCTATCGACTTTTAATTATTAGTCATACTGACGGAATTCTAGGGATCCACCAGTATTAACCTATTTTAATACAAAGATTTCAGTTTCCTGAATAGTATAAACTGTTGGCATATACTTTCAAGTAGTTTCAACGCTACACTAAACACTAACCAAAAAATGTAATTATTATTTGTAGCGCGTTTTCATTATACAAAACGTAAACTTATATTCATTCAGAGTCATTGCCATAAGACCGACGTGGCGTCTTTTTTTAAATACACCTCTTGCATACACATTCTTACGTAAACCGCGTAGGTATTAAAGTAGGTATATTAAATACGCGATACCCTTTGAAAAACCAATAGTTTATGCTATGTTATGTTTTACAATATATTTTTAAATTAAAGATTGGAAGTATGTTGAAAGGAATGATCAGCATCATCATCAACAGCTTTTAATAGTCTGGTGCTAAACATAGGCCTCTTCTTAGAAAGGCGAAAGACGGATTGGTGTAGGGTTCGTGTCAAGTTTTCCTTCTCTATACAGTGCCACACACAGTACACACACGCAGTACAGTGTCCTGCGTAGTTTGCTCCCTTACCCACCCACCCATGGGACAAATAGGGGTGGTGACACTTCGTATTCTTAATCCGTCACCACACGGTGATGGATACATTCTTAAAACTGGTCGTAGCGCCAATTATCGAATTCAAGCGTAAAAAGAAACCGACTAGGGACTGACTAAAAACCGACTTTTTGTCTGCTGTTTCTGTTGCGCTATTTACAAAGGTCATCTGGAAGACCTCGTAAATAGCAAATAAATGCCTGTTCAGTACAATTATATGAGTAGAACCTACGTCTATATGTATATCAATTTATAATGTGGTGCACAAAAAGAATTTTCTATTTACCATTGTCTGTGTAGGTAACACCTACACATTATATTTGTAATAAAGCTGAAATATATCGTGCAGTAAATAGTTATAAATATGTAATGCCTACATCTAATGTGATGATTACCCTCAATTCGACAACATCAATTGATAAAATCACTAATCAGTAATCGTTTTATCTCTATATTTTTTTTCAAAGTCGATTAACCCTATTGTGCAGTCGACAGTAATTATTTTACTACTTCATTTCTATTAAAACAACAATGGGCATTAATCACCGCAGAGACAAAGTTTTTTGTTTTAAAAACACTAAGGCGTGTTCCAAAGTTGTTCTCAGCGATATTTTATTGTTACGGCTGCAAAGTATATAGTTTTATCTGTGGCGCCGGTGTATGTAGCCGCATAACTTTGTCAATATACATTTATCCGGTTTTATTATTGTTAAACTTTCAAATGTAAATCCGGAACAGGAAACTTCAAACTTTGAAGTTTATTATATGTGTATGTGCTCAGGTATGTATTTTAAAAGTATCCAATGATGATAGATGATGATACATGCAGATACAATTTTATAATGAGACAACATTAAAAAATAGTTATGTTTATTATTTCGGTCAATATTTTGAAGAAAGTGACAATAAATCTACATCATAAAGTTTGAAAGTAATACGAGATTGTATTATGTCATTAAACAATTAACAAAATTTCATATCTTGACATCTACAATTGCCTATTTTGAATTTCGAATATAACTGTATACCTACTTTTAGTCAAATAAAAAAGTATCAACCTCACGTACGAAACCAATTTAGAAAGACTTTCTTTTCTTAATCTGATGGATTTGAGGTTCGAAAATAAAAATTTAACCATAACCGTGATCAAATATTAAACATTGAAATAAGAAATAAATAATGAAGGACATTTATCAAGTTGATTCAATTATCATTGCATTCAATTAGGCACGTGATGTAAATATTTAAATAGGATAATAATGTAATAAATAGTAAGGTATAGTGAGGGTTAAAAGTTCACGACCTGTGTCTCCTACCCCGCTTTGATATTGATGAATTTACACCCTTTAACGTGTCTAATATGTTATAATATATTTGTGTGTCTTTTTAATTAAGCATTATTACACTAGGAGACTAATTAAAGAAGATCAACATTACCAAACAAAAACGTGTTTAGCTATAGATATTTCGAGATGATTCTAAAAATAACTTATTCATGTATCTAAGATTTTCATCAACAAAAACATCTGGTAAAATATGACTCGACATCAAATTTTATTTGGAACCTCTCTTTTAATTTATATTTCGTTGTTACAGATTGGAACGTAAACAATAAATTACAATTAATGATGGTGGACCGGGTCCTGAGTCATTTATTTCAAAAATACAATACGAGCAGTAAGTATTACAATTGACGCTAATAAATCTTTGTATTTTATAATGGCTGTCCAAATTCGTGTAATACCATAATTAAAATTATAGTGGGCGTGATACTATTTAATATCACTAATACATTAAATGTGTTTGAATTATTTATAATAAATCGGTTGTATTTTTAAAAAGCTTTTATTAGCTTGGTATGTATGTATGTATCTATGTATGTAACGGAATCTTCGAACGTTATTTTGACCCACGGCAAAACGTCGGATTAAATTGAAACTTGAACACTTATCAAGGACCGAGAACAATTTAAATAGTTTGTCCCATTATCCTATCAGGACCTTCAGGATTAAGGGCTTTTTCCATACCTAAGAATACGGTAGTGTCTTTTGCCACGAACTAAGGCGTGTTCTGAAGCATATGTGATAAATTTATTTGTTACTTTTTCAGTCTTAATAAGATTCTTATCAATACTTATCGTCGAATACTTATCATCATCATTAATGATTATAGTTTAAAAAAATATAAAAAATACGCTTTTGTAGCGACCCAAAAAATTATAATAAAATGATTATTTCCTTTGAATTTATAGAAAATTATTTCTTACTTTTTAGGTCGGCTAGCTACAAAAGCATGTTTTTTTTTATTTTTTTTAAACTATAATTATTTTATGTTTGTTACCTCAGAATTCCGTTTATTATGAATCTTTTTTTGGGAGGTTAAGCTTCTCCTATTCAATTTTGACGAAAAATAAAAAAAATGTGAATGAAAAATTCATCGTCATCGACCGACTTAATGGCCATACATTAAGTCGGTGATATTATTTAATAGTTAATTTATACTTGCTAATAACTGTCGTGTTTAATCAAAGCTATGGACGTACAGTAGTCCCAATTAGTAATAGGTTCATTAATGAATATTTTGAGCTTAATTCGTTGAACGTGTTTAAACGCCTATTTATTAGAACTGCTATTGCCTTGTGCTTGAATTTCAACTGCAAAATTTTAAACCTAATTGTAAGACGAGTCATGAAATTCCAGTAAAAGTTGATCTGCCATTTTGTACACCCAGGAAAATATAGTCATGTGAAGCTCGATGTAAGTTTATAATTTATAACACTACTTTGTTTAAAAATGTTAACTCTGTAATGTTTTTCCTTGTATACATACATACATACATACATCTTCAGCCTATCGCAGTCCACTGCTGGACATAGGCCTCTCTCATCGCACGTGGCTTAGATCGATTTTGGGCTTCTCGCATCCAGCTTCTGCAAGCCATCTTGCGCAAATCATCACTCCACCTGGCCTGTGGGTGTCCTACACTACGTTTGCCCAGACGTGGTCTCCACTCAAGAACTCGTTTTCCCTAAAGACTGTTGGTTCTGCGGCTAATATGGCCAGCCCACTGCCACTTCAGCTTACTGATCCGGTAGGCTATGTCGGTGACCTTGTTTCTCTGCCGGATCACCTCATTCCTGATGCGATCCCTTAGAAAAACGCCGAGCATAGCCCTTTTCATAGCACGTTGAGAGACTTTGAACTTGTGGACCAGACGTACTGTAAGTGTCCACGTTTCGGCTTCGTATATCATAATGGGTATAACGCACTTATTGAAGATTCACTTCACGTGGGATCGACAATGAGAAGACAATGTCTGCTTGTGGTACACATAATTTTGAACAACTTCGAGAACGGCACCGTGTACCGCAATCGGTTCCGGTGGTGTACCAGTGTGTTCATTGAACATGACCTTGGTTTTATCTAAGTTCATTCGTAGGCCGATGCGTACAGAAGAGTCAGCTTGGTCATTCAGTATCTGTTGTAGGTCCTGCAGCGTCCCTGCCATTCGTCATATAAACAGTCAGTATTTGAAATTCACATTCCTTTTACTCTACTTAAAAATGTGTACATAAATTCTTCGTACATAACACTTCTTCCTCCGAGCCTTTCCCAAACTATTTTGGGGTCGGCTTTAAGTCTAGTATGATACGGCTGAACTTCGATTATTTACGCAAAGCGACTGTTATCGGACTTTTTAGGGCTCCAATCGTGATCTCAATCTGTTAAGAAATGGTCACCCATCCATAGACTGACCTGGCTGGGATTGCTTAATTTTGCAATGTGTTTTTAAATTTTTCTCACATATACTATAAAAAAAGATTTTTTTTGTTGTGCGTACTAAATTAAAAGGTTAATAAAATATTTCACTATCAAAGCTGTTTTATTCAAACATATACTATTTCAGTAATAGGTGTCAATCTAAATTAAATGTAAATCCAAGCAACAAAAAAATCTCCTCCAAGAAAATTTCTAAGCAGAATAATTCTCGAATGATGTGGCAAATATTCACCAATACTCCATAAAGTTAAAGAGCTACAAAAAAGTATAATCGTTTTGACCTTTTTTTCCTGTGCGGAACTCCCCTGGGATACCATCCACCAGTGGAGTGTTTATGTCTGTCGATGTCTCCAGGTACCAGTAGCCGGGGAATCAGGTATACTCTGGTATCCCGACGTACCTCGGGCCATCTACGGCTTATGGATGTCCCTGTCCTGTGTGCGTGCGCGCTAAGTAGTGCGATGCGCCAGTCGTTTTGACCTAGTACAAAAATGTGCAATGGCCATTATTCATATCTGTATCTATTTACTATTACTATTAATATCTAGTTACTGTAGTTACGAATTTCTTTTTTAAGTCGGTCATTAGTGATTACTGATTATGTCTTTGTTTCACCAGTAGGCGGTGTGGTCTCTCGGTGAGAGGGCATGGAGGGCGCGGACAACCAGGATGATGTACTGGAGTGGGAGGCGCTATACCTGCGCCTGCCTTTGCAGAACTCGTCATGGAACGCCACAGAGTGGGACCCCGCTATATGGAACGTCACAGTGGTGCCAAATGCCACTTGGTGGGAGTCTTCCGCGCCCTTCGAGTCACCTGCAGCTCTCGCCCGCGCTGCTGCCAAGGCTGTTATACTTGGACTACTTATTCTTGCCACGGTTGTAGGTAATTATTAAGCTTCACATTTTACAAATCCAAATGATCAGCTATTGCTATGGAACGATTATAACAGATACTCTGTACAATGACTTCTGTACTGATTTCTGTACATATAAGTCATTATAAACTTAAAAAATAATGATCTAAAAAGAGCTGAAAAATTGGTAATTACTCGTATTAAGCCGAAATAACTAAATTCATAAACGATGACCACTTTTTGACGTCAAGATTTCTTGTTAGACGTTATATTTATTCTCAATTTGTTGAATAAAAATACATCGAAATACGAGTATAAGGCATTTTTTTCATCCTTTGTGTAATAGAGTTCTATTTGAACCTTCAATATTTTGCCGTTGTGCGACACCGATATGGATCATATTTCAAAGCGTTTATAGAAACTATTTCTTTTAATGTAACGTTAGAGGAATCGTATATTTCATTGGTAAAATATTATAGCAAGAGGAATTTGATAGATTTATTTACCTAAAATTTGGGGAAAAAAATCCAGTAAGTAAATGCGGGTTTAATCACATACATGTACATATACATATAGGTATTTTGTATATATCAGTTAATAGGGTTTTTTCTCACTACTCAAAAACTCTCAGATTTCTAGACACTTCAATTGTGTACCAGAATTCAAATCGGGTATAATTTGTTCTTATCGCTACGTTGTTCATACGCAAAATATAAAAAATAGTATTTTTCAAATAGTCATAGTAACTTGACTTAAGTAGTATTAGGCCATAGTCATTGGGTCATGTCGTTCATTCAGTCCTAGTGGATCATTCATTCAGTCATAGTAGAGACCGCTGAACGGGATCGGGAGAGGGCCGATCCCGAGCGTAAAGGACGTCGTCGACGAGCGAGTGAGGACCGCCACAGGTGATAGGAAGTGGGCCTGATTGCATTAAGACGCAATTAGGTTGTCACGTCGCGATTGAGGGGGGAAGTGCTTTTTTCCTAGGATAGGGTCTGATTAGGCATGGTGTCAATTCGGGGAGGACCTGAAATATAATATGGTCCGGGTCCTCCCAGAGTAGGGCAACTGAATCCGGCCGTCGGGATGGTTTTTAGTGGAATCACCACATACTCCTGGCTCCTGGAAATTCTCCAACCCTTCAACAAAAAAAAAAGGTGGATGTATAATGTGTATTCTAACATGTTCAGCACCTTATACAGCTGCTGCTTGTGAGTGTTGTGTTCTAAATGTTAGGGATACTCGTAAGCCTAATACCTCCTACTATAAATCAAAGTATCGGAACCTACTAGTCCTAGTAATGTTAACATAAGGTATTTTATAAAGAAGTGACAACTATGTAAATTTGACTGACACTAAAATGACCCGTGGAGTACATGTTCATATTATATACATATATATGTCCAGTATCTTATATGCATATTATGTATTTGTACGGAATCCTGCTGCTGGTTTCTTTACGTAACCCTACTTACATAACCTTACGAACCTCGGTCGAACCCTACGAAACACTTAGCGAAACATACAAGAAAAAACAATAAAAACTGGATATATTTTTTATTTTATAACTTTATGCACTTGTGTACATCGGCGGACCTAATGCCCAGGGCATTCTCCACCTTTGGGTAGTGTAGAAATCTGGTGAGGTAGGTGCACTGAGGTTACAGTCTATACTACAGTATAGTACAGTACATATATATAGTTTCAACTAACATATACAATTACATATATACATACACACTTATACATAAATACAGATATTTATATACTTTATATTCGTACACTGTAAATAGGGAGGTGTACTATCGAGTAGGTAATTCCGCCAACTGAAAAAGGTAGCTATGTACATGCTTTATAAATGTGAAACGGTTTGTGGACATCCTGATTTCGAGTGGGAGCGCATTCCAGAGCGGTACTGCATGCACAAAGAACGAAGAGTTCCCGAACTCGGAATTATGGGAGGGATACAGGAGAAGCAAATTATTTGTTGAGCGATGATTTCTGTCGTGATTAATGGACAGGAAACGCAGATAGGGATCAAGTTAAGTGGGTGAGGAATTCGAATAGGCAACCATTGTAATTGGGAACGTAAAGCAGACACGTGGTCATACTTTCGAAGATTGAATATATATCGAATGTAGTTATTAAGAAGACGATCTAGCTTGTTAAGGAGGTCAGCATTAAGGTCGAAGTAACACACATCACTATAATCAGTTATATGGATAATTAGGGGCTGCATGAGAGAGATTTTTGTTTTAGGAGGCAGGATATTTTTATAATCTGTTAATAACTTATTTAGAAATTAGAGGACTCGGCTTTTAAGGCAACAGCCCGTTCGATTTGCTCAGATTTGATAGAATCCAATTGTTTACATTGTACAATGTAAACGATTCTATCAAGTCTTGGGAGTACTGCATTGCAAGGCATTGTAGAGAACGTTTTCTTATTCTATCTTTTCTTTTTTCACGTATCAGGGGAAACCAGTTGGCTCCAAGGTGGCCTAACTTCCATGCCCTTCAAATGTACTCAACTCTCACGGATGGCAGCGACACAAAGTTTGAAGCGCGAAACGCGAGGCGGTTCAGGGATATTACCTTGATTGTCAGTGTGGTGACGGATTAAAAATACGGAGTGTCACCACCCCTATTCATCCCGTGTGTGTAAGGGAGCAAACTACGCAAGACAACAGCAGTGCAAAGAGAAGAAAAACTTGACACAAACCCTATACCAACCCATCTGGCCAGCGTGGTATAGCAGGCCAAAATCGCCTTTCTAAGGAAAGGCCCATGTGCAGCAGTGGACTAATAAAGGCTGCTGATTATACTCATCTTTCCTTTCAACATACTCCCATGCCCGGTTGACAGCAAAAGTCATGCCTCATATAACATAAGTGGAACTAAAATTGTTCAAAATGTATGTTAAAAATTATTTATTGTTTTAGGTAACGTTTTCGTGATAGCAGCGATTCTATTAGAGAGGCACCTTCGGAGTGCAGCAAACCAGTTGATCCTATCGCTGGCGGTAGCTGATTTACTGGTAGCGTGTCTAGTAATGCCACTCGGAGCTGTGTACGAGGTAGCTCAGCGCTGGACGCTGGGCCCCGAACTCTGTGACATGTGGACTTCTGGTGATGTGCTGTGCTGCACTGCCTCCATACTACATCTTGTTGCTATTGCACTTGATAGGTAAAATATCATTATCATGACATCTTAAATCAGTTTAATTATTGTTGCTCGAGTAAATATTCTTTATCCTTTTTAATTAAGTACTCCTTGTAAAAACCTCTCAGAAATCAAGTCAAGTTTTAACTATAAAACTCGCCTAAAACATTTTAATTACGAACCGTTATGATATTGTCTTAACAACTACATAGTACTCGTAGAGTATACATTTATTCTATACCTCTAAGGATGGTCATATTTAAATATTAACAGTGACCTGTTTAAAGTTCAATTTCTTAAAAGGATAAAAAGAAACTATATTGTATATTTTTTGATTACTTTGCTTTTGCATTTCTCTTTCTGTCTGTTGAGGATGAAGTCTGTCCTTCTTATTTTTCATAAGAGCATGGAGATATCAAGTGAAAATATCATTAAATACTTTAATCTGATATCTTTTAAAGCTGTAACACAAGCAAAATTTTAGGTCAGAGCAAGCGAAACAGAGGCAATTATAAACATATATTTGTATTTATTTCGTAAGATTATCCTTTCCAAAACATATAGCTTTAAATGTAAGAATAATCATTAAGCAATGTCTTCTTTCTTAAAGGTACTGGGCTGTGACTAACATCGATTACATCCATGCAAGAACTGCACGCCGTGTAGGTCTTATGATCACCTGCGTGTGGATCGTTAGCTTCCTTGTGTGCATTGCACCTCTGCTGGGATGGAAAGATCCTGACTGGGATCGTCGAGTCTCAGAAGACCTGCGCTGCGTCGTGAGTCAAGACGTAGGTTATCAAATTTTCGCCACTGCATCTTCGTTTTATGTGCCAGTTCTCGTAATATTAATATTATACTGGCGAATATACCAAACTGCAAGGGTAAGAATACGTCGGCGGAGAGGAGCAACGACTCGAGGAGGAGTTGGGCCCCCACCAGTGCCTGCAGGCGGAGCGCTGGTCGCGGCAGGAGGGAGCGGTGGCATCGCCGCTGCTGTTGTCGCCGTCATTGGGCGACCCTTACCTACTATGTCCGAAACAACCACAACCGGCTTCACAAACGTGTCGTCTAACAATACTAGCCCCGAAAAACAGTCGTGTGCGAACGGTCTCGAGGCAGATCCCTCAACTACGGGGTATGGCGCCGTAGCTGCAGCCTATTACCCGACCCTTGTTCGACGAAAACCCAAAGAAGCTGCAGATTCGAAGCGTGAGAGAAAAGCGGCAAAGACATTGGCAATAATTACAGGCGCTTTCGTTGCGTGCTGGCTTCCCTTCTTCGTGTTGGCAATTCTAGCGCCGACATGCAATTGCGAAGTAAGCCCCGTTCTGACGTCACTGTCTCTATGGCTCGGCTACTTCAACTCGACTTTGAACCCTATTATCTATACGGTGTTTAGTCCAGAGTTCAGACACGCGTTCCAGCGACTGTTGTGCGGCCGGCGAACACGCCGCCGCCGCGCCCCGCCGTAGCCACCCCATCCCTTGCCCTTACCCGACTGACCTCGTCTAGTTCGAAATACTTATGTTACCTTGTTACATTTTCAGAGATATATTTACACCCATTTATTTTTTGTACGTGATAAATGTGAAAATGAAAACCTGTCTAGTAATTAAATCACAAATTCTCTTAAACTGTTGTTTCATTCCTTCTAACCGGGTACTTCACCATATAGGTTTGGTTTAAATTGTGCCATGTAACCTTATTACAGAGCACAATTTACCCTGTATCAAGAAAATTGAATACGTATATAAATACTTACTGAAAATAGATTGCTATAGAATTAAAGTTTACTCCTCGAGGACATAAAATCCCAAGTTTGGAACTAAATTACCTAAATTAAATTGGTCACCGAAAATCGAATAAGACATCGTTGTCCCGTGGGTAGTAGTTACCTGAACGAAGTAAATAATAATATTAAGATTAAGGTCTAAATTCCCTATGTGATCAAGCTATCATATTGTTTACATTTTTTCTTAATTAAATTAAAATCTTAAATTTTTCATAAGAGGAGCAACTATGCAGTTTTTTTAACAAGAGTTTTTTTTAATTGTATGATGACATTTCATTTCATTACACGAATAGATAATGACTCAAATTTCAAAATATTACAGCTTGGGTATCCGACTCAAGCTCAATTACTTTTTAAGGTTTCATGAAATTATCGTAGAGACGTCTATATTCCCGAAGAGAACAATTTTCAAGACAAGACAAACAAGAAGACTACAATTTTGGTTCACTTACATAACAGGAGACAAGCCTATTGCCGTCCACCAGGCACTCTAGAAACCAGATATGCCTATTATTTGGGAGGAAAAATATATAAGAAGGAAAGGCAATTCTAGGAAAGGAATCTGTTTCTTTGCCCGCATTACGAATATATCCTGCATCGCGGCAGACTTTACAAACATACATGATGTATTGGAGAATATAAGAAATAGCTCTAATAGGTCACGATCGTGTAGTTCTTTTGTATTCTGAGGGCCAAGTGCAAGTTTATTTCACATCGGCTCGAGCGCGTTTAGCATTGAGATTGGTGGACATTTCAGTGCGGCCCAATCGTAGCGCCGTACGCGGTCACCATGATGATCGAGTAGAAGTGAAATAAACTCGCACTTGGTCGTCTGTTTTTCTGTGAGTAAAAGGACGGCAAGGCACTTGTGACTGTGGAGTAGCAGGTGTCCAGCGGCGGCCGTAGTCACACTTACCATCCGGTGAACCGTCTTCTGGTTTGCCCCTATGACATAAAATAACAAGAAAAGTCCGACTCCTCTAATCATAAAACTAATATTATTTGCAAAATTATCAGACACTTTAACTTATCACAGAGTTTTCAAATTTGTTAGGTATATACTCGTAATTGTGCGATACAGAAAGGCAGATGACATAAAATATAGAATCTATTCCAAACCAGTCAAAGATCATTAGATATTCTGAGATCATAAAAATATAATAACCTACCCACCCTACCTACTGGCAATATATTTATTTCTAACTTGAAACAGTAAAAAATATTAACACAATGCAATCTATAAATCAATTTTATTTTCTAAACATACAATTATTTATTTAAATAAAATGTTAATGTTTTGTGAGAACTACTATACCGGTCGGTCACATAACCAAAATAAAGCTATAAATAATATGTTTAAGCAGTATTATATATCTATCTCAGACAAACACATGACAGTGGGAGGAAATTTAATGCTCTAGAAATGAGCTTACTGAGAAGTAAGCTTAATGTGTAATGTAAGATTGACTGATAGAGTTAAAAATTATGAAGTAGGAAAACGGCGTGGATTGTAAGATCTATGGACGAGAATTGAGTACAGAATGCTCCGATAGTTTGCTAATGTTGAAAGAAAAAGCAAAGAGGGAATGACTAAAAGAGTTTATAGGTCCCCTATGAGTGTATGAGGCGGCGCGGGCCGGCCCCGAAAGACCAGACCGCCGGTGTTCTAAACAAGGGTCTAGTTAAAAGCACCCGTAATCGTAGAGCGTGTGTGAAAAGCTTGTGTTATGTGGAAGAGGCGCAAGCTGTATGTCGCGATCGTGGTAAATGGAGTTAGATCGTTTTTGCCCACCACACACGGAACTGAGGCATGTGTGTACACAATTTATATATATATATATATTAATACGTGTGGTACGGATTAAGAGTACGGAGTTTCACCAAACCCCTTTTCATCTCATATCAGGTGACATACGACTAAGGGAGCAAACTACGCAGCACAACAGAACTGCAAAGAGAAAAAAGAAAAACTTGACATAAACCCTTTTTTTTTTTTTTTTTTTTAACGTGTGGAAATCCCCTCGGACCGTCACCCCTCCGGGGTTTGCGGCGGGGTGGTGTGTCGGACTCGGACCGACTAAAACCACACGGTGTGCCACTCTGCGCCTGTAACAGGAGGGATCCGGGAACAGCTGTTGTTAAGACATCCGGACCCCTCCTAGCGCCAGCCCGCTCCTGGTGCGGGCTCCGTCTCAATGTAGATGTCCCTCTCTTTAGGCGACGTCCGGCACACGCGGACGCCGCCCCCTCGCGGCTGGCCAACTAATGCGGGTGGAGGGGAAACCCACCCCGTCCACCCGCGGCCACACTCAGGGCGGCATGAGGCTGTGGTAGGCGGGCCTCCGCCGCCCGGTTCGCCGGCGGCGGATCGGGTCCGAGTGGAGGTCGTCCTCCCGGGCCCTCTCCGCCGCCTCCTTCCGCGAGATTACTACCTCGCAGAAGGTTGCGACCGCGGTAAAACAACTGTCGCTACCGGCCATGGAGCGTACTACGGCCGGTAGCGAGAGATCCACTCCGATGACTGCAGTGAGGGCCCGGCGCTGCGCCGCCCATGCGGGGCAGACCGCCAGCGTGTGCTGGGCCGAGTCCTCACTGCAGTCGCAGTGGTGGCAGGCGGGACTCAGTTCCCTCCCTCCCCCCAGCTACTTTCCGAAGCAACCGTGCCCGGAAAGCACCTGCGTCAGTCGGAAGGAAAGGGTCCCGTGCTGCCGCCCTGCCCACTCGGCGATGACCGGCTGGAGAGCCTCCACGGCGGCGAAGCCAGCGCGTGGAGTCTCCAGCCGGAACGACCAACGAGCCATCGTGGCTCGGCGAGCGGCTTCGCGCCACTCGCGCACATCCTCGGGCGGAGGGCGAAATCCGCTCTCCGCCCGGAAGTCAGCCACTCGCCGATAAACTTCGGCGAGCACTTCCGCCTCCAAATCCCACGGGGGAGTTCCGGCCAATGCGCATGCCACCTCCGTCGAAACGGTGCGGTAACCGCGTATGGCTCTGACCGCCATTACCCTCTGAGGGCGCCAGAGGCGTACCCTATTCTGGGCGGTCAGAGCCGCCGCCCACACCGGTGCACCGTACAGTGCCATTGACCGGACAACCCCCGTGTACAGCCGTCTTGTCGCGACGCTGGGTCCACCCATATTGGGCAAAAGTCGCCCTAGGGCAGACGCAGCGCCGACCAGCTTTGGAGCAAGCTGTCGGAAGTGCTCGTCGAAGAGCCACCTCCCGTCGAGGATCAGGCCCAGATATTTCATCTGGGCCCGAACCGGTACGAGGACCGAGTTGACCACTATTGAGGCGCCAGGGGGTGGACCACGACGGGGCCCATGAAATAACAGGGCCTCCGTCTTATCTAGGGCCACCCGTAAGCCCAGCGCCTCAATGCGCCCGACCACCAGGGAGACTCCCCCTGTGGCCAGGCGCGCCGCCTCTTGGAAGTTTGCCCCCCGGGCTGTCACGAGGGTATCGTCTGCGTAACAGATTACACCCAGCCCGGGGGGGAAATCGGCGCGAAGGGCCCAGTCGTACCCTATGTTCCACAAGAGGGGTCCAAGAACAGACCCCTGTGGAACACCGCACGACATGGGCCGACACCTCAGATTACCTTCTCGGTCCTCGTACACGACGGTACGCTCCTCTAAATAGTCTGCCACCAGCCGCCTCAGGTACTTTGGCACCCCATGATAGTGGAGTGCTTCCCTGATGCAGCTGAATGGCAGACTATTGAATGCGTTGGCGATGTCTAATGACACCGCCAACAGCACGCCGCCACAGCTCACGGCCTCTTCGGTCACGGCCCTCAGGCGCAACACGGCGTCGACTGTCGAACGCCCCGCCCGAAAACCAAATTGGGCGTCCGACAGATCGGGGCCCACCTCGCAGAGGTGCCGGACGATGCGGGCAGAAAGAACCCTCTCAAACAATTTGCCCGCCTCGTCCAGCAGCACGATGGGCCTATAGGCCGCGACCGAATCGGCAGGCCGTCCCGGCTTCGTCAATAGGACCAGCTTCCCGCTCTTCCAGCACTCAGGGAAGCGTCCCGACGCCAAGCTAGCGTCGAACACCTCCCCGAGGCGGTCTGCCATGTGGTTGAGGGCCAGGGCCAGCACTCGGGCCGGTACCCCGTCTGGCCCAGGGGCGGTGTTCTTGGAACGGATCCGTAGAACAGCCGCCCCTACCTCCGATTCCCGGACGGGCGGAACATTGTCCTCCCCGTGCTCCCCGTCGTCTCCGGCCAGGGAGGCCATCGACGGGGGAGTGTGTTCCGCCCGTTGTGGGAAAAGGCCCTCAACCACTTCTCGCAGGAAGCTGCGCTGGAGAGTCTCCGTAAGGGGGGGGCCCGACGCGCGGAGCTTTTGTCGCACCGCGCGGTAAGGGCGACCCCAGGGGTCACGATTAAGACCCTCCAGCATCTCCTGTCTTTTTTCCTCTTTGGCGCGGCTAATGGCCAGCTTCAGAGTTTTCCGCGCCCGTCGGTACTCCTCATGAAGCCGGTCCTCCTCACCGTCTCCACGGTGACGCCGCCGACTGCGCGTGTAGGACCTCCGGGCACGTGTACAGGCCGCACGGAGGTCCGCCAGCTCCTGGGACCACCAGTAGACCTCCTTCCTTGGAGGCCGACGACCTCGAACGCGGGGCATGGCCGCATCGCATACATGCGTAATCGCATCGCGAAAGCGGCCA